TTTGCTCACCCATCAGGTCAACCAGAGGGCCTCACACTGTATATAACAATCGGGAGAATATTGCTGTCCGCAATCTCGGTATAGAAATCGACGAGCACATCCTTGGTCACAGCTTTAGGCCAGTAGCTCGGAGGCAGCAACAGCCCGAAGTCCGCTCCCGCCTGGCGAGCTTCTTCGGCGAGTCGCAGTGTCTCGCTCACAGATTGACCACTGATGCCTGCCACCAGCGGATAGTTGTCGAACCCCAGGTCCACTGCGGCGCGTCGAGCGGTTCTCAGGAGCTCTTGTCGTTCGGGTGGAAAGAGCAGCACGGCTTCGGCGGTGGTACCGGCCAGCACGAGCCCGTCCACCCCACTGCGGATGAGGTAACTGAAGAATTTGTAGGAGGCTTCGTAGTCGACCTCTTGTTGACGGGTGCTTTTGAAGAGCGATATCACCGGGCAGAAAATGCCGGGGGGCAACGGGTTACTCTTGGCTGGGACCATGGAACCCATGGTTGTGTTGGCGACTTGTAAGCTCGACTAAAGGGTTTACCTAGGTAATGGCTAGTTCCTGCACCTCAGCCATACTTGGTTCTGCCCACGGCAACTCGGTGGTCTTATATCATAGTCCTCGGCCTTGTCCCGATGAGGCCGGTTCAACATAACCGACGATGCGGGGTAACCATTCCTCCATCACCAGCATCCCTGTACTTAAATGTCGTCTTAGCGGATCGTATTAAGTTCTTATGTAAGAGGTCCAGTCCGTCACTAATTATTATCTCTATCCAGGATGTTTATTGCCACTGGCTCTATTCCAAGAATGTCTATAGTGGATAATGTTACTGGACCAGATAAATTTAATATTCGAAACGTATGGACGTAATCTTGACCGAATGAACCCAGAAAGCTTTTTTTATTAATTTCTTTTTGGCATAGATTCACAGTCGCTCTTAAGGACAGGACTCCACGTTCTGGACGTACGCGTGCGTATAGAAGTCATGGAACGATAATGACCTCACCGGGGTCTAGGAAGCGTTCATAAATGGAGCAGAGACAATCCAGTCATCTCTACTACTGATCCTAGGCCAGCCTCGTTCTACCCTTGAGTCGGACAGATATTAGGTCATGCAGGTACATAACAAGGATGGGCCTCGTTGCTGAGCAACATATCCATTCCATCTATCCATCCTTCATCTGGTCAAATTTCACTCCCCATCAAGTTTCTGGATCCTGGTACCTCTGTCCATCCCCGACGAGTTTCACCCCTACACCCACAGTTACTGTTGACAAGGCTGACACCGACGCGGGCACGCCAACTCACCAGACCCATGCAACGACCCCTCGGTCATCGAAATACTACTACAATCATTAGTAACAAACACAACCCCCGACCCCGAGCTCCGAGAAAGAACATATGGACTCCAGGAACTCGAAATCCCGCCCCGCGCTGGGCGTCGCAGTGGCAGTGGGCCTTTGACAGCGGAATCTCGGAACTGAATATAACAAACTACTCCAAACCCTGCATCACTTACTCGAAGACAAAGACACGCTAGCCGACAAAGCCTTGCTGAAACCCTTCACTTCCTAAGCTGCAAACCCAGCGACATAAAGCCCGACAATGTGCCTTTGCATCTTCGATCCGTAGATCCTAACGGTGACGGTCCGCTGAACCTAATCAAAATCATCGAGAAAGCTAGAGTCTCAGAGAAGCCAGCCTTCTTAGAAAACTGAATTCGAATTCTACAGCTCGGGTAGACCATGCGCATTTACCCTATACCATCGATCGCCAGATGCTCCTAGCCCCAGACCTAGATCCACCCTCCAACATCCCAGAGAAAAACACACCGACTATTATGTACCATGCCTTCAACGAAGCCTCTCAGTCGATATTCCAGCGATCTGGGATTCCATTGTTCCAACCAGCCAACCCCACCCTGCCGTATTATCGGACCAACACACTTCTCAATAGCGACTTAGTGAACATGAAGATACTCAGCAACCACTGCGAGGGCAGTAATCCATCGGAGCTGATTGGATTACGTGACAGTCCTGCAAGAGTCCTCAAATTCCTCAGGGATATGAGCAGATGCACCGGTCAAATAGCCGTGATCAGTGTACCGAAACCTATCAAAATGGGTGTCCTTTTTAATTGCACCACGACATTGGCTCATAGGTTGAATATGAGACTTTGGAAACGGGGCCAGGGTGGTTTAGAATACGCGAACCTGAATGATTGGGTTGCGTATAGATGGATCCCGGCGGGGTGCATACAGGGATGAGTATCTATTTCGTGTCTAATGAAGGCCTATGAAATGAATAGTATCGGTACGTGAATAAATCACCCGCAGTGTTTATGTCTAACATCAACAGGCGAAAGGCTTTTGATAAAAAAGCTCACACTGCAAGAACTATAGTCAGCAGTCATCAAAAATATTATCAGACAATGGAATTAAAAATCCGAAGATTTAACTATCAGTGAGCAGGGGAAATCAAGAAAGATAGAGAAAAGTAAACCGGACAATTGGATTTCTTTTCTTGTAGTAATATCTGCATAGTGCTGGAGATTTAACAATGCCGAGGAATAGATACTATTCATTCAGCTGCAATGCCATTCATTCAGCTCCAATGTGTTAATCGGAAGAAGGCGATACTCCACCTCAAGCAACCTCATTTCCTCATCGGTTAAATCAACCAAAAGTGCCTCCCATGCCTCAGGTTCGATGTTTTGCAACCCGACACTCGCGCACACCCCTTTTTTCAACAACCAAGCAAGCGCAAGTGTTCGCATACTGCAACCTTTCGACGACGCCATCGTCCTGACTCGCCAAAGGATTTTCTGATTCTGTTCATTAGAGAACCCATACCGGGCCAATCCATGTGTCGGAAAGTGCTCCTGCCCATCCAGCAGTCCATTTGCCAGAGGGCTCCAAGAAATGAGATCAATTTCTTGCCCCTTACAGAACGGATGGATCTCCTGCTCCCCCTCGCGATAGAGCAGATTGTATGGCCCCCGCATGCTGATAAAGGTAGTCCAGTTCTTCATTTTCGCCGCACACTGCAGTGTTGCGAGTTGCCAGCAAAGCATGTTCGAGGCACCCAGATAGAGAACTTTGCCATCTCGAACGAGTTCGTCAAGCGCTCCCATTACCTCCTTCGGCTCCGTGTCATCCATGTGATTTAGATGAAGAACATCGACATACTGAGTATTCAGTCGAGTAAGAGATCCCTGTACCGCCTTTAAAATATTCTCCCGACTCAACCTCATCTGATTGACCAGTCTACCGTCATTCACGGCAGAGCCAGCCTGTGCTAGTGACGGATCGTAGAGCTTTGTCATGATGGTTACCCTCGTTCGTGGGATTTGGCACAGGGTCAGAGCTCTCCCAATTAGAGTCTCAGACATCCCTTCTGCGCAGCAGTCGGTTATATCCCAGGTGTTGATGCCGTGATCGTATGCATATTTGAGTGAATGCATAATCTCGCTTTCGGGGAGATCCCTTGGGATGCCTTCCCGGGATACTTTATCGTAGGCCCTGAAATTCAGAATGATTCTGGAGACTCTGAGGCGACTATTACCGAGGATTTTATATTTCATGTTGTTGACGATATTTGGCAGGTGACTCAATAGCAGGGTCTAGGGGATCCGCTGCGTGTGTGCCTTTGGGCTCCGTGGTTATTTCAGTCGACCGACGGTGGAATATCCTTTCGAGTTTGTCGGAGGCAGCCCAGGGCCACACGTCGGGTTTCTTTGCTTTGGCCTTGACTGAATGCTCCAAACCTAGCGCAACTGTCAAGATATGTCAGTAAGGTAGGTTCACGTTGCGCGTCGCCTCCAGTTGTATTCAGGGACGCTTCCTATACATGGTTCCTGTGGTGGCTTGTATAGTATTCCCCCCCCATCAGAACAACCAAGCAAAAGAGACTCAGACTTGCCTATTCGGTTAATAATGGATTTGAAGGCTTCTAGAAGTGAAGATATAGATGACTTCAGCCATGAGTTGAGGGTTGCAAAAGTGCACAGGAAGAGGCCGGATGAACAACAGAGGTATACCTGGTACGTCTTGACCCTTGCACCTTCCTGATCCAGGACCAAGCGAAGAAGAATTAATCCACGAGCCATTCCCACTGTAGCCCCGTTCATCCTGCCGGAAGGTAAACATGTAGCGGTCGCATTGTATCCAAAGCTTAGCTGAAACCTGGAGGAGCCTAGGGAGTGTCTGTATCATATAGTGTGTACTGGTCCTGAGACAAAGGTCACTCAGTTGTTGGGCTTCCCTCCCTGGGGGAGTAGTGGGTGGATGAAATATATACTTACCACCAAGATGCTGATGCAGTCTTCATTGAATATAAAGAAAGTTGCAACTTATACTTGCGGGGTAATCACAAGCTGGAATTATCTTTTCATAGAAAGTGGTGCTGTGTGCGTTGTCCGTGTCTGAGTGTTACTGGTTGCTGCCTGTGATTCTAGGCTGCCTGACTTCCCGAAATGGTCACGTGCGAGGTGGGATCCACAGAGGCCCACTTGAACCTGTCAGGCCCCGCACGGGGCAGGAACCAGCAGGGGCCCCACATGAGTTGATGTGCCTGGCATTTTAGTTCGAGATAAAACTCCTGCAGCATTTTACGATTTGATATAGCCAAGATAATATCAAGAATTCGACAGGAAGAGCGCAGCGGCCTACACCCCCATATTCTGCAAAAAAAACGCCCCCGCGCGGATTCGAACCGCGGTCCTCTCCTAAGAATACTCGATAAGAATAAGTGGAGTGCTCTACCACTGGGCTACGGGGGCTGTTGTTGCAAGTATTAGACCTTGCAGATCCTAAATCCGATATACCACTGCCCCCGGTAGCCAAAAAGACCAAAGAGCGCCGCGAGGATTCGAACTACAGACTTCTTCGCCAAAAAAATAAAAGTGAAGCGCTCTACCGCTAGACTACAGGGGCTACTGAGCACCTGCCGGAACCTAGCTTGACTTACATAGGAATAGTTTCTCTGCTCAAGAGAGTCAAAAAAGAACGCCCCCGCGCGGATTCGAACCGCGGTCCTCTCCTAAGAATACTTGGATAAGAATAAGTGGAGTGCTCTACCACTGGGCTACGAGGGCTGTTGTTGTAGGAAAAGAACCTGGGGTAGTCCAAATCCAATACCCCTGGCCAGTTAGTAGTGCCACTGCAGGGATTCCAACTGTAGCTCTCTCCAAGAATATAAATAAGGGCCGGCAGCGCTCTATATAACTACTTTGTTCATAGTGGTAGTAATGTACAGAGTAAACTGGAGGCTTATTTTGGCCTAAGCTTGACAGCCCATAATTGGCCATCGTGACCCACCGGCATGCGACCCACTCACTTAGTGTCTCCAATGGAATCTGCCTCCTATTAATAGGATCCCCGAGCCTCTCATCGTGGATGTTCTCACCTCCGGTCGCATATCGATCGTTTCCCGTTGACAGCAAACTGAGCATCTTCTCTTGACATCTGCAGGTCCATTTTGCCATAATAACATCCAGGAACGTTGTGAGCCCCGCATACCGGGCCCACCAGCACAAATATCCGCCAAGGAAGGAACCAGTCATGGAGATAGTGGGGACAAGGTTAAATCTCCCAAACCTCGAAAGCAGGCGCGGCGCCGCAATCGAACCATTCACTCATGCCTCGAGTGTCGTCGACGGGAGATGAAATGCGACCGAGAGGTTCCTCCCCTTCCTGCTAGGGGCTGATTAATCTGTGATAGCATCTGATTCACTCATAGCAACCTTGCGTTGGCTGCAGGGCCACTGGTCAGCGATGCATTTACGTCTCTTCGGCAAACGGCGACGCACAGTTTCGTCGGAGGTTAGCCCAGATGAAGGATGCGAAAGAGGCCTTGGACGAGGGACTGGTCAAGGAAAGCGACGTCAAGGCTTCGAGCATGCCATCGCGACAGAAACACTCGAAACAGAACAAACATCTTTCAAGCGAAGAATGCGATGACCTTCCAGATGACGGATACCTGGAGCCGACCCGACTAGCTATCCAAGATGCCGCCTATGCTCCCGATGCAGAGGACCGGATTGATGACCTTGGGATCAGGCTGGGTCGCATGCGACTAGGTGAGAGAATAGGAGGCCTCTATCGTCCACGAATTGCCGACGAGGTAGGAGACGGGTTTTGATCGCAGCACTTCACCTCGTGCCTAACATGGCCTGCAGTTAGCCCATTCCTTGCTGCACCGAAACTCGGCTGGATCACGGCATGTCAATTCTGCCCCTCTGAAAACCTCGTCACCCAGATCAAGCGAGGAATACCTGAAGCCCGGACGGTCGTTCACGGCACCATCGGTCAACCTCGTCCTTGGGCGACCGCCATCTAATGAATCTCTCATAGACTTCCTGCCTGCCCGGTATATCGCCGACACACTCCTCGAGCGTTATTGGATCGCTGTACACCCTGTTGCACGGATTATGCATCGCCCAACGTTTGCCCAACGGTATGAGACACTATGGGAACTTGTGGACAATGGGCACGAGATCATTCCTTCGTTGGGAGCAATCGTCTACGCGGTTCTTTTCTCTGCCGTGGTTAGTATGGAAGACAAACACCTAGATGGATATGGCGTCTCTCATCAGGAGCTCAAGGATCGTCTGCAGATGGGCACCGAAACTGCCCTCTGCCGAGCGCAGCTATTAACGTCAACGAAGACGGAAACATTACAGGCTTTTGTGGGATATATTGTAAATAGCCCTGATCTGTTGGGAGTTTGCCTGCTGATAAACGTGGGATGAGCAGCTCCCCATGGGCTTAGGTGAGGTCTCACGCGCCCACTCAGATCTGGTTGGTATGGTAATACGGTCAGCCGAGTGTCAGATTCGGCGCTTGATTTGGTACCAAATTTGCTACCTGGATTTGCGGACCAGTGAGATCCAAGGTCCCCGCCCGTTCATTCAGCCGGATGGTTACACCACGCAGCTTCCCTTGAATGCCCCTTTACCCGTCGCTTGGAACGATATGGTTTTGTCGATGATCTGCTTTGAATGTCAGGAAATGCATCGCCACTGCCTCACACTACGCAATTGCGTTGATCAAAAAAGGATCAGTCTCACAAAGGCGATCGCAGAGCTCGAAACTTTTCGCGAGACTATGGACAAGAAGTATGGCCCGTTGATTGAGAATTCTTCCCCACAGCAGCCAATTCAGCGCATGGCAGGCCTGGTATTGAAGCTGATGGTGAGCCTACTCTACATTTGTCTCTTGCATCGCTATATGAATAGCGTGTCATATCGGATTCCAAACCGACTGCGCCAGATAGTGCTCAGCAAAGGTACCGACGCACTGGAAGCGGCAGTCGATTTAGAATCGGAGGACCTCCATTTATGGTCTTGGTACAGCAGCTCCTATCATCAGTATCATGTTGCATTTTTGCTCCTGTGCGAGGTATTTGCGTTTCCCCTGAGAAAAGAGGCAACTCGCATTTGGCGTTGTCTGGACTTTGTTTTTGCCGAACCCCTAACGAGCCTCGCTGGTCTGATCATATCGGAAACTCCCACACTCCAAGAGATAATTGACTATCGCAACATGAAGGGTCGTCACCTTATCACCATGATATCCGAGCGGATGCACGTATACCAAGCTGCCAAAGGATTAAGGCAGCCATCAAACTTTGATGATTCAATGTTGGTCATCACGCCTCAGATTGTCGATGACTCGGATCCCACCATGCCTCTGAATTATGGCCATGTCAGCCCAGAAACGACACCTGGATATCCGACCGGGGTGCAGGGCTCTATCCCTAGTTCGAACGACACGAAACATGCAGACAGTGAATCTTCTGCCCGACGGGCGGCCCCTTCCAGTGGCATCGTTACTCAGCTAGCTCATGCTCTGGGACCCTGGTCCAATACACAGGTTCCTGTGTCACAGGAGTATCCCATGCAGCTACATGGTGGAGAGCATTCCCCATATGGTGATGTGGACACCATGCTTCCAACAGACAGTAATCACCGAGCTGGCATCGGCTCTGCAGCATCGCAGGAATATTTTACGAATATACAGAACGTGGGCCTCAACAATATTCCTGTTGATATTGAAGCGGAGATGTTGGAAATAGATTGGGTTAGTAGCCATGACCCAAGAGGCTTTTTCCTTTATTCATTGCTATTCGTGTACTGACATCGGCCTAAAGAATCTCTGGGACACCGTGTTTCCGCCCCAGACTAACGATGGCAACACTCGCCGATCTTCTAGAATCAATGCATGGAGGGTTGAAGCCAAGGACCTAGCCTCGTGTGAAAGAAGCCTCGATTGAAAGCTTCATGGAAACGGACTGTTCATCGACAAAGTCGAGGGTTTCGATTGTGTTTATCGGAGGGTTTATAAATGGTAAATCAGAGCCTAGCAATTTGGTTGCGATTATAGGAGACATAATATAGATCTAGTTTAGGGGAATTTTGAAAGACTCAGACGACTCGACCGACTGACGGCCTCAGGCACCATTGCCGCGGATGGAATCCTTGATGCCTGAGAAATGGTCACTGAACAATTGATCTATATTTAAAATTTATCCCTGCCATTTTGGACACCATGAGTCACAGATATTTTTGCTACGCCAAGAATAATTCAATTCGGACTATTCACGATGAATACCCAGAACAATCATTCATAGTGTCTATCACCTCTCCCAGGTATATCTTCACTGGGGGTTCGAAGGAATTTATAAACCTGGCGAAAATGAAATGTCATCTTCCTTTTTTCTTCAACCTCCGTCTGCAAGATGCCGATTTACATTTCCCACCTGCTGTCAGATCCTCAATTTTCATGGGTCCTGAATATGGTCCACTTCCTGGCCAACCTTGCTACAGCATGAAAGATCTATGCGTACACAGATGACGCGTTACGACCTAACGCTGGCCTAAACAAATTGGCTATACCCAATTCCCAAAGATATGTCCGTGCGAATGACAAACAGGCGATTCTAATCCAAGAAGACTGCAAAGTAACGGCATTGTTGATGAAGAAACCCGCACACTTGACCAATTATAATGGGCAACGGACATTTCCAACACCCCTTCCTAGAAGAAGTCAATAAGATCCTTCGGCCTTTTGCTGATATCGCAAAACAGACATCAGATATCTATAACGTTTGCAGAATACGACAAAAGTCTGGATTCATTTCAAGAAACGGCTGGAGATGCAAAATTCATTGCTGTAAAGTAGTTTCGGTCAGTCAGATGTCTTCGCTCTTCTTTCGACTACTTCGACGTCGATTTATTGTGTCTACAAGCATCAAATGGATTATGAATCGCCGCAATTCCATGCTGTTCACCAGTCTTCTGACTGGAACAGAACATGAGACACACAACGTTATATCCGGACAGAATCTCTTTGCAAATGAGCATGTCCATGTTCTAATTAACGTCGAGTTTGGGGACGTTTCAATGAGAGGATTGGACAGGTTTTGAGTGCTGTGGCACAGGACCAGAACCTAGAGACTTTCTTCGGTGATTTTAAATGTTCCCATTTCTGAGCACAGCAAAAGATGCGAATTGATGAGTGTTGACAACTCTTGACATTGACATTGGCTCATTCGATTTGACAACACTGGGAATTCTTGTTGAAGCTTTCAAAATGTATCGATTTTTGACTGGTCCTCCAATTTCCGCATTGCTGGCAGCAGTACAAACAATCAGGCGATGGATCACCGAATTTGAACCTAAGATGGTTTCAGCATGTTATTGGAAGACATGCACAAGATTGATGTTTATTTTGTGTTTATGCGCCAGAGGGCATCTGAGGCTCACATACCATGAACCATCCTACGCTTTGTCAGTGCAAATTGCTTGATGCATGAACCACAGAGTCCTTGATTTTACTGTCTCTGCTGCGAATCCATTTGTTTCACGTGCTAGCTCTTCTTCACAAATACATTGCTCATGAAGATTGGGTGGATAAACACGAGGCAAATAATAGCTCTCTCTTCACTTACTACAGGGGGTTCATGGCACATCCGCAAAGGTTATTCTTATCTTGTACAAGCTGTCCTGGTTCCTTCGCGGAGGGTCGTCCAATATACTCCTGTTCAAGGCATAATGGGGTTGTCTGTCAAGGTATCGAACAGGAAACTAAAAGGATT